TTCTGTATTTTGTTTCTGTACTGGCCAATAGCCAAAGCTCTCTGGGTGGTTCATAACAGTGAATCAAATGCAAAAGATACAATAAAAATAACAAATGCAATAAAACACAGCATAAAATTCCAATGTGCAAATTTAAAATAGCTAAGAATTCCAATATTCAAAAACTATAAAACAGTTTAACATCTAAAGCATGTCCATTAAAAACCAGACCAATTAGAACTGCAGACACGACCCATCATATACCATTAAATCTATGGAAAGGCAGGGTAGTTTTAACTTGATCCCAAAAAGATGGCAGTGTTGGTGCCACCACTGAAAAGGCCCTCCTCCTCGTTGCCTCTTTCTGGGCCTCTCTCTTGTCCCCTGCTTTGAAACTTCATCCTGGAAACTTGAGCAAATCTTGCTGTTAAAATCTCAGCCATGAGAGTATCACCATACACAAGCCAATTCTTAGCTCACCTCTAGGTAGCCTGAAAGTGAACATGTCTCTGTGTTGGTGCTGATGTGTGTATTGTGTTGTAACAACCTACAGCTCATTGGGTGTTACTGAATGTTAAGGTCATTTTGAAGCAGTGTGTTCTAATTAGTGGTTGTATTTTAAGGTGTGTTTTCCGCTTCTCAATTTTGTGCTGATGTACTAGAATACACCTTTCAGGCTGCACACAGTCCACGCACCTGTAGCATCTCCCATGCCACCAAATTCAGGGTAGCAAAAGCTGGCTTTTCCTTTCTCATTGCGATGGGGTGGTTTGCTATCCGATCTCGGCACTAAGCTGCTGCGTTCTGCAGGGGGCAGCCTGCAGGGTTCAGGGGCAGACCTGGACCCTGAATGACTTGCTTGCCCCATCCGAGAAGAATAATCTTTTGCCTGCGCACTATTTCATGTATTTGTATAGTATTTTCTGTAGGAAAACACTTCCTCTTTCTTTTTCCTTAAATGGCAGAGGGATATTTCTAAACAATAGAATATTAGAATAGAATATATTATTATACAATATCATCTTTAAGTGCAAGAACTCATTTTGATTGTGGATGCATTGCATGCATATGTACACACACACACCAACAAGCAGGATACTCAGGTAATAATACCCACATTATTAAGATGGGCGTGACTGCAGTAATACATTGTTATTTGGGAGTATGCGCCGTGGAACTCCTGGTACCTCTGCCTGCATAGATTCAACTTGTAAAACATCACTGAACTTTTAACAAATGGCTTCAGCTAACAAAAACAGAGATTTAGTTTTTCATTAGTAATGTGAACAAATTTTGCTGCATTATTTGCCCCTTCTCTGACTTCCTGGATGTTAATCCGTCAGGTTTGAGAACATCAAAAAGCAAAAATCCTGGTCACTTAAGCCTGTGCCACTAAGCTCAGCTCTTATGCTGACTTGCAGTGACCACATATGATAAGGTATTCTTCTTTTGTTTGAATTACTTGCATTTTCCAAGTACAGATTTACTGTATCTTTTCCAGCAAAAGTCACGCATGTATTGTCACCCTTTGTGCAAGGCAGACAGGGCAGCAAAGATGGGATCATCCCATAATATTCCCACAACAACAGCCCTGTGGAGGTAGGTCAGGATGAGAGAGGGAGTGTGTCCAAAACTCACCATGAGAATTTTTCTGCCGAGTACAAGACTGATACTCTTTCTGCTACAATAACCAGATCATCTTCCAGGAAAACACTTCTGTTCTTAAGCAAGAAAGGGCCACTTAGTACAAACTAGTCATTCTTTATCTGTTTTGCAATCTTGACTGTGTACTTGGGCTGTGCAAACTGATTCTAGCTGAAAAACAAAACACTGGACCATAAATACTAAAGTTGGGTAACTTTCACATGCCTTTTCCGGCAAGTATACATGGTGAGCTGTATAACGTAGCCTTCATCCAGCTTCTAAGGATGTACCATAACATGGGAAGAATGCCTCCTTCAGTTAACTAACACTGCTTTATTCATCCAAATATTTGGTGTGCATTTTTTAAAAAAAGCATTTTAAATTGTGTAATGCTGGGTGTGATGCTCAATATAACATCCTTGTTTGACTTTATAATGCAAAACTGTTGCCACAGTATGGATATGCTGCCTTTCTTCCCATTCCAAGAAACCTGAGGTGCCTTACAAGGTTCACCTCCTTGCCATTTTATCCTCAGAACACCAGCCCTGCGAGGTAGGTGACTGGCCCAAAGTGAGTTTCTTTGTTGACTGGGGACTTGAACTAGAATCCGTCAGTAGTTTTAATCACTGCACCTCACTGGCTCTCAGTACAACACTGTTTCCATGATCGTATTTTATATCAAGTGTGAAAATGCTTAGGAAAGGAAGGTGCTTGGCAAAAGGTATTGTGAATGGATGGATATTCCTGAAAACAGAAACTATGTTTTACATACAGCGTGTTCCATTTCCCTGCACAAAGACTTCAAATGGAATAAATTATTTTATTTTAGCAGTGTGAGCCACCTGGCTATGCTGTAGGTAGAGTAGGCAGCATATAAATATTTTAAATAAAATTAAAATAAATGAATAAAATTAGTTTCTATTCAGACAAGCCTTGGATAAAATCGTAGACTAACTTCTTCCTTCTAAAGAAGTGTTAGGCAGTGCATCTGACGTCTTCGAACTGCAAACAGGGAAACAGTTTTATCTGGAAAGGAGATCATAGGTGGAGTTCGCTGATTTATGCTCTTTGAGAATGTGCATTGTTTGACACGAGTCCATTTGGGGTTACTGATGCAATAGCTTAGATGTGGTTTGGATGTGTGGCCCGTTCAGGAGTGTTTGCCCTGGAGGAGATGACCTAGAGGAGGAGAACCAAATGAGACTGAGCATTACTGCCTCGAGAGAAGGGACCGAGTTGGCAGATGTGATTGTTTTGTTTTTGTTTTCTGACTTTTGTAAGCCACCCAGTGACTTTCGTATTGGACGGCATATAAAAACTTTAAATTAATAAATATAAATAAAATATGTGGCCTCATTAATGGGAGTGAGAAAAGGTGTAAGACTCTTTGGGCTTTTGTAACTGAGATGACAGGTGGCAACTTGATTTCAGGAGCCACTGAGAATGCTTCTGGCCATCTTGCAGTCAAGCCTTCTTCTTTTCTTAAATAGTAATGCCGCTTCCTCCTCTGTATATTTTTCTTCATTAGTTAGGGGCAGGATAAGTTTAGCATCTTTGTAATATAGAGAGTTCCTCAAGAAAGGCATTCTGAAGTTATGAGATGTGACCTTGATTGATTTTGGTTTTGAAAATCTAGCCTTCCATAGCAAAGGCACTGATCCAGCTAGTATATCTGCCCACATTTTTGGTGGAACTCAACTGGGTATAGTAATGTCCCACTAACCAGTAGAGCTTCTGAGCAGGGATAGAAAGGCTCGGGCTACTTCTTGAAACTGTGCGCCAAAGTGGACTATGTCAAAGTCACAGAAGACAGTTGTGTCTTTGGTTCTTTTTCACTCCAGGGTAAGTGCAGATGGAATCTCTTGTATGTGAAGTAAGGGGGCTGGTAACCGCTTCCACTTACTGTGGTGCCAGGGCAAACCATGCCTGCAATTTGTAGGGTAAAATAGTGAGGCCAGGATGTAGATAAGGAGCCGTGCATTTACACTCGAACATAGACGAAAATAAGGTAGGGACACCCTTTTCATTTTGCATTTAAGCAGAGTAAAGGGGCAAGCTTTTCCTATACACGTGTATGCCTTATTTGCAAAGATCTGTGGACAGACACTACTTTCTAATTTTATTCTGCTCCCAATGAAGAGCAGCCAACTCAAAGCATGGCAGATATTCTTGACTTATGGCCTATACCTTTTTTGCTGACAAGCGCATTTTCAACACCACAAATTATCTAGCCAGTACTTTTACCAATATGGAATTCTGCAAAGCCTGCACGGGGTGGGTCATATCCAGCAGTGGCTTGGGAGCACTTTGACCTGTGGAACTGTGCCAGTTGTCCATGGCTCCTGCAACCCTCTTCTGAGGCTGGCAGCTCCCGTGTTGGTGGGGTGCTGGCACCAGACCGTGCCATGACCCACCAGCCCCCACTGCGTCATGTCCCGCACTGTTCCAGAGCATCCCCTGGGCTGCATCGCTTAGCAGGGAATGGCAAAAATACTTGGTGTGAGTAGAAGCTCTTCCCTCTATAGCAGAGTCACCACTGGATGCGACCCAATGAATTCCACAGAATGGATATTGGTGCCTTGAAATGTACAGCACTGATTTCTTGCGCAGCGGTGAACAGATCAAAGTATCAAGGCAGTATTCTTTTATTGCCATAGTCATCACTTTAACGTTAGGCACGATCCCAAAGGAGCACAATATCCTGGAGTTCAGTGCTCGAGGAGTAAGCATACAGTTATCTCTCTCACTCAAGTCACTGGGGTGTGCAATGCAGCCTTGTACATTTTTAAAATTGCTGACGTTTTACTGGGAAGTTTTAGTGGGGTGGGGGGAAATAATTAACGGCAAGAGGTGCAAAGATGTCACTTCGTATGCATAAATTATTGGCTGTTAATAGGGAGACATGATAGTATATAAGCACCTCAGAGGCTGTCACAAAGAGGAAGGTCAAGTTCTCTTCTCAACAAGTCGCAACAACCCAGGTTCAGGCTGGACATCAGGAGAAGCTTCCTCACGGTCAGGGCAATAGGCAGTGGAACAGCTGCCTGGGGAGGTGGTGGGCTCTCCACACTGGAGACAGGGCAAACCTGGGCAGCCGTCTGAGTGGGATGGCGTGACTTCGTGTCCTGCAACAGCAGGGGGGTTGGACTGGATGGCCTTCATGGCCCCTTCCAACTCTACTATTCTATGATTCTATTCTTCTTGCTGATACCAGAGTGTGGGACCAGGAATAATCGACTCAGGTTCAGGCTGGACATCAGGAGAAGCTTCCTCACGGTCAGGGCAATACAGCAGTGGAACAGCTGCCTGGGGAGGTGGTGGGCTCTCCACACTGGAGACAGTCAAGGCAAACCTGGGCAGCCGTCTGAGTGGGATGGCGTGACTTGGTGTCCTGCAACAGCTGGGGGTTGGACTGGATGGCCTTCATGGCCCCTTCCAACTCTACGATTCTACAGTACATTAAAAGCAGGCAGTCGACTTAGAGGTTTGTGAGCACAGCAAAACAATGGCAGATCCACGTTTTCATTCTGTTTGTTTAACCCCATTTCTTTCCCTTGGGTCCAAGGCTGCTGTCAGAGTGTGAGTGATGGTGCAAGTAGGTCAGATTTTCCACGCCTGTCTGTTGTTTCAGGGAAGACAAGCTCTTGAACTTTCCATGCAAGTGTATAAAATCAGCCTTACACAGCCCATGATATTCATTTCTACCCCTGCGTGTTGTTTCAATTTCTTCTGCCCAGGTTGAGCTGCCAGGTACATGAAAGGGAACATGTTCTGGAAACTTCAGTGATTCAAGTCTCATTTGTAAGTAATAAATGTTTTTATATTAATAAGTACATAGAAGCATTATACTGTGTATGTGAAAAATTTTCTTTTCCTCACTGAATTTTTATTTAAATGCATAGTGCTAACTGGCATTTTTCTGATTATGTATGTATGTATTTATTTCTTTAACTTGGAGGATATTGCTGAATCTATTCCCTGCAGAACGGAACCCCTGGTGGATTTTTTTTTTTGCCTGGGTGACCCCTAAATCAGCCTCTGAGGGGCTGGAGTTACTGATGGAGCAGGTTTAGGGTCATGGGTATCAAGGAAACACGTCTTAGTGGTTTTGCAGTGGAAACAAGGGAGTTGTGCAGGTAGAATTTCACCTGCATAATACTGGATGTAGCTCTTTCTGACCTTTCCTGTACTAAAATCAAACATTTCTTGCAATGTTCGTCTTATTTTGCATCTTTATTACTTCTGACAGAATAGTTTTCTGCAGATGATAAGGCTCCATGTGCTGCCTCGGGAGGGGAACCTCCTACTCTTTCCCAGCCTCGTACCCACCACATGCTTTGACCTACAACTCTTGCATTCCTGAGCACAGGACATGCTATCTGAGGCTGATGGGAACTGGAGTCCAAACAGGTGGAGGGTGCACAATTGAGCAAACGTTGTATATATACAAATTCCTATGCATGGAAGTATCTCAAGCAATTTGGATAACTACAGCAATGGGACTTATGGGAATGTCTTGCCCTGAAACTGGTACACAGTCTGCCCATCTCTGCCTCCTTCCAAAATGAACACTTCCCCAAAACTGGTCTCGGTGTGAGGCCAGGGAAGTGCCTTAATGGGCACTTCTGGCCCTTAGTGATGGTGGTGGATGCTTGTTAGAACATCTCTGTCGGAGGTCGCTGATCCGGCCCCTGGTTGCTTGTTGTGGGCACAGGCTGCTAACAAGATGAAACTGCCAGGTCATAACATTCCTTAAGACACGTTGGAAACTTCTTGGGCTGAGTTTGCAAGCCGCTCCATAGGAAGTTTGGAATGCTTGGATAAATAAGAGTTGATTTACCTGCCCGGAGAGCCTTTTTGGCTCATAGGGTGGGATATAAATCCAATAAATAAATTTATTCTTGATCTGTTTTCCAGTGAAAGCTTGTTCAGTGGCATTTTAGGATACCTATGAAAAAGTAGCACATGACCCTTTCACTCCCATCCCCAGCCCACTTGTGCAGCTGAAGTGCCCGGCATGCCCCAGGAAAACAAATAGTTTGTTTTTCACATTCACACATTATATTCTTAAGCTAAATTTGGGGAGAGCAAAGTTGCTTGCAAAGTGGTCTTTCTGGGTGGACAGATAATGCGACCTTCAGTTGTGTAACGTTCTGAAATTCCATAAAGAACTATTGGGAACTGAGGAAATTCACGAGTCATTCACTGATTTCAGGAGGATTGAGTTGGGACAAATGCTTGGTAGATTGCGTGACAGAGTAGACCTTGTTCTTGATCGAATGCTCTCCATTACATCTTCATATGCATAGAACTCCAGGGAGGCTCGTCCTCATTTTCTTGTGAAGGGACTGGCCCAGTGGCCACGTCTGGTGCAGCTGTCTGCACTGAAATATGGAATTCCATGTGTGCAGTGGGATTCCAGTGTTTGTAAGGGGATGCTGTGACCAGATGTTGCTTAGGAGAGGAACTTCGCCTGCTTACCCAGTTAACATCTGGCCAGCATGAAAAAGAGGGCTTCAGCCAGACTCGGATTCTCAGAGACCAGCCACATCATCAGCTTGCACTAGTGGATATTAGAAAACCTGCCTTGCCTCCTGACAGCATTCATAGAAACACAGAAACAGAGTGAGTCAGAAGGGACCTCCCAGGCCATCTAGTCTGACCCCCGGCTCCAGCCAGCTCCGCTCATGACATGCCTTGCTTAGTGTTTTATTGGAAATGGCATTTAAACACATACTTGGTTTTTGGAGTCTGCACATTCTTTCTGTTAAATTCTGTGTTCCATCTCTGTGTGTTCCTTTTAATGCAGATTCTAGCCACGGAGTTCATCTTGGAAAATGGTTTTCCAGAAGTCACCTGATGGTGGATGGGGCTGGATGATTGTGGTGGTATCTTTCTTTACCCAGTTCTTGTGCTATGGATCTCCATTAGCTGTTGGAGTGCTTTACCTAGAGTGGCTGGATATGTTTGGAGAAGGAAAAGGAAAGACTGCATGGGTCGGATCCCTTGCAAGTGGGGTTGGACTACTTGCAAGTAAGTCTTTAGAAAGGACATAACATTTCTCATACACTCTTTGCTTATTCAAAATGCCTGTGAGATGTTTTGATTTTAATTTGTTCAGTCAAAGGAACAGAATTGCTTTAAAGAAAAGAACTGGTTTCTTCCATATCATAGAATTAGGAAATCAGTACAGATAGTAATAATTAACTGTTGTCTTATGTAAGACTGAAAAAGCACAGCTGTAGCATGAGAAACTGCCGAGTAAGGATGAGTGAATCAGCATAAAACTTGTATCTAGCACTGGTCTAGAAATGCAGATAGTGCTACTAGCATAGTCTCTTGCTTGGGTAACATGCTTAGGTTTGTGCTGTTTGGCTCAGAATTATATTAGAATTATCTCCTGTGTGTTTCGGATTGCAGGCTTAATAGGGCCAGCACAGATGGCTGAAGATATTATTCATTGCAGTAATTTACATGACTAGGAAAATGTAAGGATGCATTTTTTCTAACCATGGAAATTTTCAGGGTCTGTGGCCCAGAAGTGGACAGCCAGAGACCAGGCGATACGCGAACAAAAGGGGCACCAGGACAACAGACCTTTGGGAAAGGCAGAGTCCCAAAGCATAGTTTCCTGGAAAGTCCAAATTATAGTCATGGTTCAGGCGGAGGGTCAGGAACCAGAGGAAAGCATGAGGGCAGAAGAAGGACATGGTCAGGAGAACCTTGGGGCTGTGAACCACAAGGATACACAGAGGTGCAGGTACCTTGGACAGGGTAACAGAGCAGGAGACATGAGACAACAGGACCAGATGCTGGAAGGGTCAAGCAGGATGCAGGAGCTGCACCACAGTTCATAGGAGGACCTGCACTACTGAGGCAACCCAGCAAGGTGGGATGCACAGCTGAGGCAGGGTACAGGTCAGGCAAGGGGCAGGCACAACAGCAAGGCAACGCGGAAAGGTGGGATACACAGCGGGAACCAGGAGCAGCAAAGATCAGGCAGGAAGCAGGCACAGCAGAAGAGAGGAGGACCTGTGCTGCTAATGCAGTAAGGCAAGAACAGGAAAGCCACTGAAGGAGGGAAGAGCTGAAGCCACTTCTGGAGGGAAGGGCTTGTTCTTATATAGCTCTTCCCCCAGGACTCCCAGCTGGTGCTCACCAGTAGAGCGAGAGCTCCATCAGGGCTTGGGAGTGATCCTGCAAACAGAGTGGTAGGTTCTGGTTCTGGCCGCCAGAGCAGCCCAGATCCTGACAGCAAGAGCCACTGCAATGTTAACTGAAACATGAAACAAGACATGGAAAGTTCAATGGAAATGTAATATTTGCATTGGCATTTGCCTGACTGCAAATTAAAGACCAGAATTTTACAAACTAAAAAATCCTATTCTGCAAGTTCACCAAATAAATTTAAATATTGGGCACCATCCAGGAAAAGTGAGATGTCATATGCTCTGTTGATGTGAATGGCCAATAGGTATGCATACCCACAGTTGTGTGTTAATCATGCTCATTTCAACGGAGAGGGCATGGGAAGTTGCAGAGGGAAGGGCATTGAAGAGGGCGTGGGAAGGGCAAGTGCTGCAGTATGAAAGCAGCTGGCAAGGCTCCCCAGATACCCTCCAGAGGTGGCGGGGAGGCAGTGAGGGCCCCTCCTAGCAGAGGAGGGGAAGAGAGTGACAGAGCCTGTTGCTGTGCCTCCTCTGCCGCCTAATGCAAGAGCATCGGTCTGGGTCTTGGCTGCACCAGCCCTGCCTTGCAAAGAAGGAATTCTTGGGTATCAGGTCGCTGATCCGTTGCAGGGTGTCTGCAAGCCACAGGAGAGTTCTTCAGGCCATGCTGGTCCTCCCGGGGCGGCCGTGCAGATGGTGCCAGCACAGGCGACAGGGTCTGAACAACTGCCTGGAAGAAGTGCTGGTACACAATCACACGTGGCCTTGGCCTCCCTCCTCCACTGCTGCTTCCAGCTGGATACTGATTGGCCAGCCATGCAAAAAATTGCCAGGGGTACTGCTGAAGAGAAGATCTGGGGACAAAGCATCAGATTATCATGGTGGTTATGGTTATAATTCAGTGAAGGTTGGATTGAGATCTTTATCTCTGATGCTTGCAGAAAAAGGGACATTGCCCTTGAAAATGATTCACCGAGTTTCAAGGAATGGGTCAGAGAAGCATCATATTTAAGCTTTAGAAGTGTCATTGGCAGTTGAAGGAGAGATGATTCTCCTGCCATCTTTCCATGACAACCAAGGCTTTAAGGAGGTGGCAGCATCAAGAAGATCTAGAATGAAATGTGCCAGCCAATTTTCTCAGGCCATGCACTCTTCTGCATCCTCTGCTACAGAAAAACATGATTTCTTCTCTCATGTGATTTCTTCTCTCCAAACCAAAGCACTAGCCTCTTAAACATGTGATTCTCTCCTGCTCATCACCTGACACTCTCGGCGCTTCCTCCTGTTTATTTGCACAGATAATTCAACACCAAAGTCAAGGCCCGGCTGTGGAGCAAGAATTGTGAAAGGCTGCATTACGTTAGCTTAGGAGCCGGAACCTTTTGTTTGATGCGGTTCCTTTACTGCATCAGTTGTAGCTGCCTGAAGATACTGGAGGGGGAAATGGTTGAAGAGTTTCATAAATTCCTCCAAATGATTTGAACAGGAATGCATTTCTCTTTCCTTCCCTTTGAAAATGCAAATTTATTTTTATATGTTGAACATGTATGTATGGAAAGATATGTGACTCACCATGAAGCATGCAGTAGGGAGCAGTGGAAATCCAGAGGATATCAGCCAAACTAAATAAACATAGAGGTTCTTAAACTTCATCTAGAGCACAAAACTTTATTCCATACATGTTAGTCTCTTCGTTGCTACAAGACATTGGACTATTTAAACTTTATCACAGTAAGCCTCATGAAATGAAACTTTCTAACCTTCACCTCATTTTGAGGGGTAGGGGAAGCAATGATGGAGAGAGGTTCTGATACAGGAAAAAATCTTCATACGAGTCTCCATAGGGTGCATTTGCTTTTCTGACATGCCTCTCCCTGTCTTCCCACAGGTCCTATTTGCAGTACCTGCGTGTCCACTTTCGGAGCACGACCTGTAACAATTTTCAGTGCCTTTATGGTTGCAGGGGGCCTGATGATGAGCAGTGTCGCCCCCAATATCTACTTCCTGTTCTGTTCCTATGGAATTATTGTTGGTAAGAGAATTCATAGAGATTCATTTTGAAGGCCCTAGTGGCTAATGTCATGAGCGGAGCCGGCTGGAGCCGGGGGTCAGACTAGATGGCCCAGGAGGCCCCTTCTGACTTGCTCAGTTTCTCTGCTTCTGTGTTAAATAAGGATTCTGCAAGGGGCTCTTTCTCTCAAGTCTCCCTTTGATCAGATGGAGCAATGGCAGCAAAGCCCACTTCAAATGAATGGAGCTTGTACAGCGTCAGGGCTCAGTGGACTGAATGGCCCTTTTGCCCATTCACTGAATGAATCGGACTAGCAATAGCGGTGAAAAAGATCAGACAGTTGATCCAGTATCTTCAGCATGCTTGGTCTTTTGTGATAAATGTTTTGTATTTTTAGGACTTGGGTGTGGCTTACTGTATACAGCGACAGTCACCATCACCTGCCAGTATTTTGACAAACGCAGAGGCCTTGCGCTCGGTCTCATTTCCACAGGTATGGTGCTTAGCCTGTGCTAATCTTTCTATTCTGAGTGACTTTGTACAGATGCAATGGTTTAATTAACTGTGATTATTTCATCTAAAAAATGAAACTGTGGATAAGGATGGCAGCAAACGGGGACATGAAACCCAGGTCAGAACTGGGTTTGCAAACCATGGTTAAGCATTCCATTTGTCCTGAGCAAACCATAGTTAAGATGGTTTGGCTTCCTTTCTTGTTTCTCTGCTTTCTAAATGATAAGCAGGCCCTGCTATTGTCTCTACTTTATATCCTCTTCATACTTTAAGGGCTTGGTATAGCTCACCTAGCGGATCCTTGGTTTCAGTGTGAAGAGGGTCATCCTGGTTTGGTGCCATGCAAAATGAGAGCTGTACACAAGCCATCCGCATGTGCTCTACACTTCAATAACTTTCTGTTTAGTGCAAGCCATAGTTTGCTGTTGCATTTAAGCTTGCGAACTGTGGGTTGTATTTGTTCCTCAAACCGGCATTGCAAACCAGTTTGGCATAAAGCGTAGTTTGCTGGTTTGGATGTAATGGCAAGCTGTGGTTTGTGTTAAGGAAGAAGTAAGCCCTGGAAGCAGAATTTGTAGGGGTCAAGAAGGAAAACAGGTTGCAGTCCCTTATTGCCATATGCCTGAATTTAGTTTAGCTCCTGATCTTAATCCTGGGAAGGGAAGCAAGCCAGTTCAACTCCATTAGCTATGCTGAAGTTATCTACAATATAAAGAAAGACAGGAAGTTGGGTCATGAATGAGAGATCTGAAGCAATACAATCTCATTCATCCAACCTCTTTTGCATTCTGCAGTGCCTAATTTTGAAATTAGACTTGTCAGTATTTGCTTCCATATAGGTACCTTTTCATATTCTTCCCTTATCTGTGCCACTCTCTAAATGACTTTTCATATACCTGAGTTAAACCTCTGAAACTGGAATCCCTTAGAGATATATGAATGCAATTTTTCAGCATTAACTGTTCAGAAAGGCTGGATTGTTTAAGGCACATTTGTTCTGTCTGAATCAAAAATAAAACATGCAGACATGTACCTGATACTATTAATATAGCTTTTCTGTTTTGTTTTGCCTGGCCGATTTGTCTTCAGTTCAGTCCTCTTTATTGTCAATTTATTCTTTTTCTAAAAAAAGTATTTGCTGTCCTTCAGTCAGGGTCAGGGCTTTTCTATCGAACTGGAGTATATTTTAAAAGTATCCATGGTGCTGCTCAGGGTGGGGGACTTGGAAGTGGGAATTCTTCATTGTAGTGGGTCCACTCCTGCTTGGCGGGCTGGACCCAGGTGGTGGTGCTTGGGGAATATTACTCAACTGTGGATTCTCCAACATGGAGTTTCGCAGGGGTCTGTTCTGCCCCTCATGCCACGTAACATATACATGGAACCAGTCGGCAGGGTCATCCACAGTTCTGGAGTGCGTTGCCAACTGAGCCCTGGTGCCGGGCAGCTCTTGTTTCTCCTTGTCATCTTCAGGAACTGAGGTTGGGATGTACTAAACCAGTGTCTGGCTGTGCCAATGGTCCGGATGAGGGCTATCCAGCTGAAAAGCAAGCCGGACAAGACTGAGAGGCGCTTGGTGGGTGGGTCCTTTGCGTGGATGGGACTGTTCTGGTGAAGGAGCAGGTTCAGAGCACGAGGATTCTCCTTGGTCCTTCTTTGTCACTTGAGGCTCAGGTAGCCTTAATCACATATGCAGGGCTTAATAAACCATCATAAGCCATTTAGTCACATGCAGCATTGACCTTCTAGGTTCTTGTAGGATACTACCTCAAAAGTTTCAATTTTCTGCCCTCAGGATCAAGTGTAGGACTTTTTATATATGCGGCTTTGCAAAGAGAGCTCATTGAACTGTACGGCTTGGATGGATGCTTGCTCATTGTTGGTGCCCTGTCTCTAAACATATTAGCCTGTGGGTGTCTAATGCGGCCTTTGCAGTCACACAGCACTGCCTTACCAGAAAAGCCAAGTCTGGAGAAGGGCCCGGATGAATACCTCATTTACAATGAAAGAGAAAAGCATGTTTACGAAGAAAATATAAACATACTTGAAAAGGCTGGCAGCGAAGAAAAAGGAGGTTTTACAGCGACCTGTGGCGAGTGCAAAAAGGAGTCCCTCGCAACGGCCAACAGACTATTATCAATAACACCAAGAGAAGCAGACACTTACAAAAAGAAAGTAGCGGAGCGCACCTATTTCTGTAAACAGCTCGCCAAGAGGAAATGGCACCTGTATTTGGACTACTGGGAGGAAACTGTGGATCTCTTTAAAAACAGAGTATTTTCGTCGCTTTTTATCGCCATTTTCTTCTTCGACATTGGCGGTTTTCCTCCTTCCCTGCTCATGGAAGATATAGCGAGAAGTTCGAACATCAGTGAAGAAGACTGCATCATTCCCCTCATTTCTATAATAGGTATTATGACTGCCATTGGCAAACTTGTTCTAGGAATACTGGCCGATTTTGATTGGATCAATACTTTATATCTGTATGTCTTGACTTTAATCATGACTGCTGGAGCACTGGTTTTAATTCCATTTGCCCAAAGTTACATCACACTGGCAATACTTTCAGGGGTTTTAGGCTTCCTGACAGGCAATTGGTCCATTTTCCCTTATGTCACAACAAAGACTGTGGGAATTGAGAAATTAACCCATGCATATGGCATCTTGATGTTTTTTGCTGGACTTGGAAACAGTCTTGGACCACCAATTGTAGGTAAGATTGGATTTTAACTGCATATCTAATTATTCTGACATATCTTTTCTTGATTTTTACATTATTTCTACTTGCAATACGGATAATATTAGCTGGCAATGACAAATATAGCTTCTTATATTAAATAAGCAATCTGACAAAATAGCATTGAATGGCATACCATCCAGACTTCATTATAAAAAATATGCATTCTAAACCAAACCCTCTATTTATTTTTCTGATTCACATAGTTTTAAAGGCAATTATTTTAATTTGTTTGGCATCCCTGGGGAACATTAGTGACTTGTCATCCTCTCAGCCCAAATATGTTTGGGGACAATATAAAATCCACCTTTGCAGACTGATTTTGGAGTACTGAGGTTAAATCAGGAGGGAAGTGGAGAGTCACTAACAGGATATTCTTGCTGCTGTTGTTGTTAGTCGCGAAGTCATGTCCGACCCATTGCGACCCCATGGACAACACTCCTCCAGGCCTTCCTGTCCTCCGCCATCCCCCGGAGTCCACTTAAGCTCACACCAACTGCTTCATTGACTCCATCCAGCCACCTCATCCTCTGCCATCCCCTTCTTCTTTTGCCATCTATTGTTCCCAGCATTAGGCTCTTCTCCAGGGAGTCCTTCCTTCTCATTAGGTGGCCAAAGTATTTGAGTTTCATCTTCACTATCTGGCCTTCTAAAGAGCAGTCAGGGTTGATCTCCTCTAGGACTGAGGAGATTGCCTTGCAGCCCAAGAACTCTACCTTGCTAGAATTCTTTGACCCTTCTTTCTTGTTCCCAAGCCTTCAGGATTGGATGTGCTATAAAACGAGAAGTCACAATGGCTTGAAACATAAGGATCTGTCTTTTGTTATGTCAGATGAACAGTACATCTAGCTGGATATGATCTGCATCAGAGTTGATCTTTCAGCTTGAGGGCCAGATTCCTTTTTGAAGAACAGCTCAGGCAATTATTTCAGCTGCAGTTGGAGTTGGGGCCAACGACACAAAAGGATAGGGCCAAAACACCAACGTCCAGCCTATTTTAGCTTACACCTCTTTCTACCAGTAACTGAGGCCTTTTAGGGTGTGGAAGAAGCACAAAGGGCAGAAAACCACCCAAGAATGTGTGGTTGAGGGGAAGTAGATGGGATCAGAGCTGCTTGCCCACCCAAGCAGACCAGACTTATTCCCTGGCCCTGAGATTCTGCACCCCTTGTCTTTGTTGACCAGCTTTCAGAAGTCATTTGTAGCCTTTACCTGAAGAAGCAGGTAGACCTTCTCCATACAAAGCAAGTGTCGTAGTCTTTCACAGATTCAGATACCAGGCCAAACCGTAGTGAACACATACCAGGCATGGACTTCTACAGCACGACTGACGAGCAGTGGGTTAGAGCTGTTTATCTTCCATGTGGTTAGCACTTAGCTTCGTAAGTTTATTCCCATGTCCATGGTGCCTTTTGAAGCTAAGCCATTGGCCGTAGCAGCAGTTTCTCAATGGTTTATGAATTCACAGATAATAGCAAACTGTTCTGAAACCAGCTTACAACTCTGGCTTCATATCCTGATTTGGCAGGCTGTGGCAAACCATGGGCTGTGAACTGACACGGGTTCGGACGTAAAAACATACCGAGGTTTGTTGTCACATCTGAAAGGTACCCTGTGTTCCTTTGCTTGCCAGTACAGATTCCTCATTTTTCAACTACCCCATGTTTATGGAAAAGCAGTGGGTATTCCGGCACTTTTAAACAGCCTAGATGCAAAGTGATGCAATCGATTGATTCTTCTTGTCGAAATGTGTGCTTCTGACAGAGCTTTCTGCTCTTTTTCAGGCTGGTTTTATGACTGGACAAAATCTTACGACGCGGCATTTTACTTCAGTGGACTCTGCGTTCTCTTCGGAGGGGTGCTCCTGTTGGCAGCCGCCTTGCCGTGCTGGAACAGCCTGGGCAGGAGTCACCCACCCGAAAAGCCTCTTCCAAATATCTACCCCTACAAGGTTGCTTCTGGCGTGTAAGTGACCATGAGGAACTGGCTTCTCTTTTTCGTACTGCACAGCAAGGTATTTCTCAGAACCCTTTCTACATGCTTATTTATGAATTAAAATAGAACTTCCCGTGTGACTTCGAAAAGCTTGTAGCTTTGCTCCAGAACGCTATCAGCTTCAAGAGGCCCCTTGCCTGCCCGTTGCCAGCAAGCAAAAAGCTCCTCTCATGGCCGGGGCACCATTGCTGGATTGTGGTGAATCTCGCCATCCTATCTGTGTGCAGAGGTGCAAGGTACCTTGGCTTCCCCATTGGCTTCAGTGCCAAAGAGCGGCAATACCCACGAGGAACAGTGAAGTCAGTGCAGCGCTCTTTGGATGCAGAACTTGTGTGTGCCTGGGCGAAGTCACGCTTTCCTTTTTCTCACTCATGGGGGACTGTACGCAGTTTCATCAGCTAAATATTTTTGTAATGGAACAACATGTGTTTTATACAAACTGTGATGCAGTTTGCTTTTTGTTTATCCATGACAAGGCACTGGTTTCTTCTCTCTTCGGAAATCCCGAAGGCTGTAGATTAAGAGACGCTGAAGACGATGGATGACGGGGTGTGGAAGAGCGATGAGACCAGGGCAAGGGATGGGGGTGCGTGGCTTGCTGATAAGTTTGATAGTTTCTGTTGTAGCATCTCACTGGTCACCACAAGGATTTTGGTCACATTGTCTGTGAAGTAGTTGGCATAGTAAGAATTAAGCTTGCGCAAGAGATGCTGAAAACCTTTTGTCACTCTTTCAGCAGGCTGTTGTTTGTTTGTTTTTAAACGCACATATCAAAACCAAAATCTAGAGAACCAGTTTTGAAGCAAAACCTCTTCATCCTAAAATGGTTTCATTCTTTGTCAACATCACAACTGAGTGAAACCTTTAAAGAAGACCGTGCCATTCTAAGTGCTTCAAATAGTTACATTAAAAATAACTGCTCTTATGTAGACCCTGTTAAATTTTAAATTAATTTCATGCTTAAAGGTTCAGATACTCTAAGGCTGCTGTCTGCAAGCAATGAAGCAAGAATTATTCATGGGGCTTTGCGCAAAAACTCTGCTAAAAGGCATTTGTTGAATGTAGCTAAAGCATTTAAAGGAAATGCATACAACATTGAAAAAATTGCTGTAGAAATAATATTTACGTGAAGGTATTTGAAAGACAACGTGGATGCAACTCCTAGCATTTTTTTTTAAAGATGCTTTTTTCTGGTCTTCAGGCATATATGGAGGGGGTTTAAACCTTGTTGCTTATTAGAAGAAATCAGTGTAGTCTGTGAACGTTCCGGGTTTATGCTGCAGGTGGAAAGGAGGGGTGGGACAGAAGACTTCCCACAGTCAGTTCAGTGAGGCGATTGCAGAGAAGGTCCTGGTGCTTGGTCATCACCGTGTGGTTAGAAGGAGAAGTGAATAAAAGAACCGTTTCTTTTCCTGCTTTTGGCACTGCAGGATACAACGACCTCCGGAATGCACTTTTACAGTTTTCACAAGCTCTACTCTTACTGCTATAGTTGTCTATTTTAACTCAAGATTCATCCCTATTTTCGTTAGGCCAATATTTCCCATTTGTGTTAAACGTGAACCGAGACTCCATCATCATCATCACCATCATCATCGTCATCCATAACATTTCTATACTGCCCGTAGCCAAATCTCCCTGGGTGGTTCACAATATTAAGTTACGCATCCGATTCCAGCCAGCCCCAAACCTGCTTAGCTTCCAAGATGAGGCAGGATCAGGTGCTTCAGGCTACATGGAAGCTCTGACCAGTTGTCCCCTCCTGCCCACACGCTCACTGCTTTCCCCCTTCAGCATCCGCTCATCTGGGCATTTGTGCCACTCAACAACACTTTGCAACAGGGCACCCAAAAAGGTCAGAGGTAGCGTGGAAGAATTCTCTGTTTGCGCGCTCTGTCTTCCGACCAAGGTCCCAACACCAAATCTGGGACCTGCAGAGTTTTTGTTTTCAGTTCCAGTTACGGAAAACTTCCAGTAAACCTTGAGAGGAAGGACACTGAACAACCATTACCTTCAGGGTTTGGCATTTGAGAGCCTCTTCAATGCAGAAAAAAATTCAGATGCTCCAAAACTTCAGTGTAAGGCAGAGGGAAGCCCTGGCCAAATTTAATCCAGGGCCAGGAGACCCCACCCAAGTTTTGATTTTTCTTCTTTGAATGCAGCAATTCATAGACTGTTTTGGATAGTCTCTGTTTGCCATTGAGTGTGAAGTGTTTGGCCAACACAAGCCTAGTGCTTGTGTTGCGCATTGCGCAGATCTTTGTATCCCAGGCATTTGTGTGTGTTGACAAGTTCACTTGTAAAGACAATAAATGTTCTCAAAAGTTGCATGTCAGAGAGCCAATGCTGGGTGCCAACTTTTTATGGTGATGCTGCAGTCTTTGGGACAGCTAATCCAAATGTCCATTCCGCATGCAAGAGGGCCTGTCTTTACCAAAGGAGCCATTTCAGAACCCAGTGATTGGGCTCAACCCTATATATTTTGCATTCTCTGCTCCTCCTTGAAAACAAGTGTGAGGGTTTCCACCTAAATGTAGAATTGTCCTGAATATGACCACTAAATTCCATTCCAAGAAGTCAGATAGACAATACAGCTTTCCTCAACCTATACCCTCTACATGTATTCAGGTATAACTAACATCATTCTTGGCCATTGGTGATGCTAGCCAAGGCTGATGGGAATCTTAGCCAAAAACATCTGGAAAATACCATGCTAGGGAAGGCTAGTGTAATAAACAAGGCTATACTGTCCAGTTATAGGAAAGGTTTCACTGACCTCACTCAAAATAGCGTCTACTGATGTTCTGATCAGAGTCAGCCCTGTTACATTCTGATTGTAGATTTATACCAGAATAAGTCACAAGGAATCCAGTGGGATTGCAGCTTTAAGCTTATCTGTGCTGTAGGAATTATTTCTGTGCATATTTTTGATGTGGCAACAGAAGTAAGCAACCCAGTACAGAACATGGTTTAAAACAGTTCTATTTCTGTAAGTGCATCCAAAAGATTTTTTTTTAAATGCAAAATTTAGATAATGCTGGAACATTTTGTCCTGATAAAAATAAACAGATTTTTAAATGCATAACCTTCCAATTACTAGCTAGTAATTGTATGACTGTTAAATTCAGTGTGAACTGAACTCTGGCATCAACTCATACTTGATATTCATGTTGTACTTCAGGTAACCAGTGTGATGTTTTTATATTAATTCCCCAATTTATTACCTTATTCGTGTCTATTGACAGACTTACCAAAATAACGTCCTATCTTAGAGAGAGTCAATATGACAGTTTCGGATGTTTACATAGCCAAACTTTTAAATGAAATTATTTTCTTGGGCTCTTGGGCTGTGTGATAGACAGAAGTAACAAGCTGAATATTCCTTTTTGGATTACTTAAGTGGAACCTGGAATGAAAATCAGGACTAGATGAGGAATTTGGACCACCACAATCTTTCCATGGCAAAAATATGGTCTTTCTGTTGTCCTCTGATGCATATCACAGAAAACTGTTATATCTTGTGAATTTGTACAAATCAAGCCAGGGGTGACAGCATTCAGTGCAACAGATCTTAGCCTGATTGTCTGTATTCGACACAATGGTGGCATGCAGCAATAAATAACAAAATAAATAAACAAACGGCTTTAACAAGGTTGTCATATTCTTTTATGGAAATCATCTGGCTGGAGTATATGAAAGACACTGATTGGAACATCAGGAAGGGGTTTTCAGTTTTGCTCAACTGGCAGAACAAATCATTGCCTATCTGAAGGGTTTTGGTGTGCTTGTTTTTGGTTTTCCTCCTCGTATTGTGTGTCAGTATTGCATGCTGTACAGCCCGACTTCCCGTGTTCCTTCATGGCTCATGAGAGCCACATCACTATTGCTAAATCGTCTTGCTTACAGCTTTTCAGACCATCGCTTTTGTGTCAGGGGGGCAAGGATGCCCAGAGAAAGTGTTATAGCAACATTTATGTTCTCTGTTTGTTTGCAGCAGTCACTGAAATTCAGTATTTTAGACGTGAAGTTGGACCAGAGCCCAGAGCCCATGGGGATGGGGCAGTGAATAAAGGTGGTCCAGAGCATCAGACAATCTTTGCCATTTCCCTTGACACCTGTACCGAGATGCAACACATCGTCATGTTCCCTTGAGTGTCAAATACATGGTGGAATATCTCAAAGGGATTGGTAATTATGTGTTTTCGTTCCCACTGTTCTTCTAAGTCATGAGGAACGACTTATTCCAAAGTCTGTCCTACAGCCACATCCCTTTCTGTGCTTAGAAAAGTCGCCCCATCTCCCCTGATCCAGGCACATCCCCTCTCCTATAACCTCTGCTCAACACACCTAACCCCTGCACAGAAGCCACGTGCTGCAGCTTCCTGGAATTCCAAGCCATCCATCTGCAGGCGAGGACTGGATATTTTAATGTTGTTCTCTCTAACCCACCTCCAAACCTCGGTCTGACTGCAGCCCATGGACTGATCTTACAGAATTTATCCCTTTGCTCTCCTTTTGAATTTTGTTCAGGTAACAGCTCAGTACAACTTCCAGTTTTGGTGGACTAAAGGACATGACAGGCTCCTTGCTTGAAATACTGGGCTGTTCCCGAGACGAACACGAGGTGGCATAAATACTGTTTTTCATTAGAAAAAGGATGTAGCAAAGCAGTTCCCTTTAGTAACTGCTCTTGACCCAGATTCATTCAATTACACTTTCTTTAACTGCGTGGGGGAGAGAGAGAACACGTCGGGTCAATTACGCAGCTGAACGGACTGCCACCCAATTGGTGTTCAGTTGGTCACAGGCACAGCTTTTTGTTCTCGCTGAATCGTCTATGATGAAAATCCTCGGAATGGTTTCCTCGGTTCTGTTCTGTTCTTCGGTGTTGCATTTACTTAAAACTTTTTAAGGAACAGCATGCACTGCAATCTGTGGAAAACCTGAAGAGCACAAAGGTGGGGTATGAAATGGGATTAATGTATTACGAGCTCAGGATTCTGCCAGCTCTTTGCCTGTGTGATACCGGAGAGGTGGATTTGAAATATCTAGGAAGTGCTGGAAAAAATCTTCCTCTAACTTAGAAGCAGATAAACAGTGTCTCTCTGGAGCAGAAGTGAAGGGTGTGCAGTGGTGGGAAGGTCATGCAAAACAATGATCTATACTCTCATTTATCATAAGGATACAAAAGAATCATATGTGTTTCCCATATGTAACACAGATGGTCCCACAGTTCAAGGTAAGCCAGCTTCATGCAAGCAAGAGGTCAAATGAGGGACCTGTGGGCTCAGCCTCAGAAGATGTGACTGCTCCGAACAACCCAATCTCCTCCCACCCCCACATATCCCGGAGTAGTTGGAGTAGTTTTGACTCCTGGAGCATCTTTGGTTCAGTGGGATGCTTCTTTCCATCCTCCTGGCCAGAAATCATTGGCCTAATTTGGTGTCTTCCATTCTCTCTCACTTACTGCAAAAGTGTGAATGCAGCATGAAAATGAGGGATGGAGAAACTAGACCAGTTGCGGTGATCGCATGCAAAACAACTGCAGCACATCAAAACATCAGAAGCAAAGCCATGCGAGTAACTTCAGCAGTGATCAATCTGGAAAAATGAGCAGGCACTCATTCGGAACTACTTGCTTATCATCCTGCAGGTGGCACTCTAGCTTCTAAAGCAAATTATCACACCTCAGTGCAAACTCCAAACACCACAATTAGTATGAGCCAGAGAATAAATGCAAGCCCAAAAGGCCATCAGGCATTATACATCTCCAAATAAAAAAAATTGTTTCTCCTTTCAGTATCATAGTTTTAAAACCCAGCAAAGGTTATTTTGAACATATAGTTAATCATTTGGCTTGCAATTAACCTTTGTTTAGCATTATTTTCCCATAATTTTAATGTTTAGTTGATTTTAACTGGGGTTTTATTTTCTTAAATCATTGGATGCTGTGCTGTTTTGTTTTATCTTATTTGTTTTTTCATTGTAAGCCATCCTGAGGTGATAGTGGTGGACAGGTTAGAAAAGCTTTTAATAAGTAAAATAAATAAATTTTAACATGCAGTAGGGCATTGGAGAGCTTGGTGTGGTGTTACATCCAAATCCTAAACCATGGTCAATAGTTTACTAAAACAAGCCAGCTTTATAAACCACAGCCTGAGGTTGCCTTGGCTTAAATAAACCACAAATATGATTAATCACAGTTTGTGGGTGAAGACATAACACTAAATTGCGGTTAATAAAAAAATTGAACTGGAGGGGGAGCACAAGAAGCCAAGTTTTACTCTTGTAACACTAAAACCATGATGTAGCGTGGTATGTTAACATGGCCAGCATCAGATTCACATGTCACAAGAACCATGGTGGGTTGTTGTTTTTTTACCCTTGTTGGACTGTTGTGTCATTTGAATGCAGTAGCAAAATTTCTGCACACCATGTTTGATTTTTGGAAACCACAGAGAAAAACAACAGTTTATTGTATGTTTCCCACACTTCGCTGCAGCTTCTTATAACATCTGGACCCAAGGGTTCCATTTTTCCATTTGTGGTGAAAAGGCTCCATAAAGTCCTGTGGAAAGAGTGGCAACAGAAGGAACCACTCTAGGCACTCAATCTCTACTACCCACATCTTCCTAGCAACACATGGCCAACACTTGTTTTGTTCCTATTGGCTGAGTGCTGTGCCTGCAATAAGGAGAAACCCAGTAAATGCATCAGAAAAGAAGTGAAGGATCACAGACCCAGTGTTTAATTTAATGTTAACAAAACCTAAACTTTGAGGCGGGACTGGTTAAGAAGCGTTAACGAGATGAAGATAACCAGGAAGTGAGCCATGAAAACCCCACAGGGCTGGATTGCCATGATGTCAGTTGCCATACAGTTGCCATTCCCCCTCAAATCCCCCCAACCCATGGGCCCCTTTATGTACACCACGAGAGGGACACCGTTGCACAAGCAACTGAAGAGGTAACCAAAAGACCTACAGTATGCAAAGCAAAGGAACAGCTTTCATCCTTTTTTTTTTTCTCAGCCAGACACTGAGTGCCCTTCACATCTTGCTATTTCTCTAGCTGTCACTGTTTCAAGAGAATAATTACACCAAATGTAAGGAAAGCAAAGGTAGCCATTTGACAAAGTGATAGGTTCATCCAAGGCGATACATTCCTGGCAAACCACCTATTTGTGGCTCATAAAAGTATCTCCAGTAACACTGTGTTTTTGTGTCTTGGTAACAGTGTAAGCACCAATTCCCTGGGGGATTTTGAGTGTAATTCCTCATGGCAAAAGACACTGCAGGTGACTTTCTGCCAGACTGCTGTGTCCACGGACCTACATAACAATTTGCAATGCATCCACTCTAGAGGAAAGAGAAATTTCTGGTACACAACATTGTCATTCAATAAACTGTTTAGCAGTGGGTATATTTAAGTATTATGCCTTTTTCATAAATTATTTAATACCATTTGCATCTGTGTAAAAAGTGTAAAATGGAATTTAGCTCTCCTGTTGAAAACTAGATGCATCATGGTATGGTGGAATATGATGTAGAAAGCAAAATTCAGCACTAAAGGACACGCAGTTCAACCATTTCATTCTATCCTCTTTTTAAAAAAATGTTTCTACAATTAATGTACAAAGAGGTACAATTAAGTGTCTCGGGCTCTCCATTATTCAGAAAAGGTAGTCTTTGCTTGAAGTATTATTCAATGCTAGATCACAAGGATAAGGTAGTACCATATTTTTAAAGTCAGGCAATATTTGCTGCCATTATTTAATTAGCTTTTTGAGTCTGCTTTCTCAGAGTAGATCTACATGTTACTCAAAACAAAACAGTATCATCCTGCTCAAAGTAATGCAGAGGCAAAGAGCACAGTATGTTATTTATTTGTGCATTTTTTAAAGTTAAATGTTAAAAGGTATTTTCTAGTTCAAACATTTTTAGCTGCCTTGCCAATGTTTAAAATGGTGTACATAATAATTAAAACTACAAATGGAAAAGGTCTGCTGTGGAACCTATTCCGAAAGCCTAAAAGGATGGAAACATGTACAGGTAAGGAGGGAAAGACGAGATCACACTATAGCTTGGGAGCAATTGATGTAAAGGATCTCACTAAAGGATCCCCTGTCCCGACCCACCAAAAAAAAAAAAAAAATCTAAATACAGTGAACTAGCACATGAAAGAGATTGGCCTCTCCTTCACTCCACTTCCATTTGTGCCACTTTATTACACACAAGGAGATCTGTATGTGAAGGATCTGTCAAAAGAAATCCATCCCATCTGCAATCTGAACCGGAAGATTCCAGAATTTTATCACTTCGTTCTGAGTAGTTTATAGATCAGGTCTCAGGAAGATGAACTAAAACTGGAGCGTATTACAAGATTCCTGTCTTAGATCAGGTCACGGTTTCCAACTTCATTCCAAAGGGATTCCATATTCTGTAGTAGTTTTAAAGTTAACAGTGGTTGTTTGCAGCTGTTTGGTTTTCCAAGGAGTCCTGCAGTAGCTCATTCTACTGCTGTGCTGGAACGGGCACAGCAGCTAGGACTTCTTAGACAATGCATCATTGTCCTCAAAGATGTTCTCTTTTCATCCTTAGCTGGCTGATCCTCTGTACTTTTCCTCGTGAGCTCCTCAGGTTCTGTTTGGAACTGTTCTATTTGAATCTCCAGATGTTTCTGAATGGCCAGCCCAAGAACTTCAGGATCAACAGCTGCCCCATAGACTTCCCATGTCATTCCTTCATCGTCCCATCTCACTTCCCGCACCGGAGACTTTTCACCCTCCACCTCTGGTTCCAGATTCACCTCTGGGAAGACATGAGGGCGGCCTTCTGCCACGACAGAAGGACTTGTTGCCACCGACCTGCACTCCTTCGTCGGAAGGGTTTGCACCTCCGCATCTTTGCACTCGAGTGAAGGCTGGAGTCCCCAGGTGAGGTCACTCATGGAGGTCATAGTCCACGTGTCCTTCGTCTTCATGACCGTGTGGACACCATCCTGATGGCTGTTCAGCACCACGTACGTCCTTTTCCTTTCCTCTTGGGCTCGGCTTGGGGGCACGCAAGGCTGAGCGTGCACGATGTGCTCCCCGCGCGCACTGCAGCATCTCAGCATGCGTTTTGCATCCAGACCCGACTCGCTTATGGATGACACGAGCTTCGGAAGGGTGGCGGTTCCGGTGGCAGGCAAAGAGGGACAGCACTCGGGGCTTGCCTGCCCTTTCCCTGATTCGCTCACTGAACAAACCAAGCGCGGGATGAACTGAACAGAAGGTATTGGCAAGGAATGGCAGTAGGCTGGAATGGTACCCTCCTGCCTCATGCCGTAGGGGAAAGCAGTACTGTTATGGATGGCCATCAGACCAGGCGGGTACATGCCGGGCGCAAAGTTGCTATACATAATCCCAGCCTGAGCATACATTGCCCTGTTGGGGAAAGTATCCCCAGGCATGTGTGATCCAAGGACATTTGTGCAATACGCTCCGGGGTCTGTAAAAGCAGAAACGTTGTGTGATACGGCACCATTGTCAAAGATGCTCGAGGGCACATTTTGGTCTCTAGGCAAGCTTGGGACCCAAGTCATAGGGCTTTGGAAATCTGGGGCATTTTCGTAAGAGTCGGATCCATACCTCGGTCGCAGTACAGCTGCGTTGCCCGTGGAGGCACCGTGGCTGCTACTGGAACTCATCACCGAATAGGTGGCACTTGTCTCCATGTGGGGCAAGGATGTTTGCGGCTTGCAGCTACATGTCAGGTCCGAAAGGCTTCTCTGAACGGCAGCCCCCAGTCCTTCCGCAGCACCCGCAGCTTGTGGATTCGCACCAGAGGCTGAAGGCGTGCTCTCCACTGCGCAGCTCTGGGTGCACCTCCTGGTGCCCGTCGCTTCTGCAGAAGCTGAGGACGGGTCAACGTGCGGGAAGTGACTTGTGCTTTTGCTGGCACTCTGCATGCTGTCGCTGGGAGACTCGTTCCTCGCAGTTCTGGTGACCGATGCTGCTTCCGAGTGGGTGGAAGACCATTCGGAACTGGGCGTGCTTCCACCATTGGCCTCCCTCAGCTGGGCTTGGCAAGCAGAGCTGCTGAGGCTCTTCCGGAGCTCCTGCCTGCCGCTGTGCTTTTCCTCAGAGCTGGCTCGCCCAATGGCTGCCAGACTGGAGGAGCTCTTGGAGATCGGGTGGTAGCTTGCACTCAGAGTACCGTGGCAGACAGAGTTTAAGGTTTCCTGAGGAGAACAGGGGTGCAGCTGGTGAGTGTTGGTTGCCATGGCAGACGAATGGTCTACGGGAGAAGAAAACAGATGGTTACAGACATTCCGACGGTCAAGAGCTTTGATCAGCTGCTGGAATCAGGTCATATCCTTGAATACCACAGCTCAGAGCTGTGGTCTCTGCCAGCCATTTTAGCTAATAAAAAGCATCCACTGCGTAGGGCAATGATGGACACTGAGGCTCGCCAAATGTTTTGGCCTAGACCTCGCATGGGCCTGAAGGCCAAAGCCGTTGGGCTTCCCCACCCCAGTCGAAGGATGACGGTGGACGTCCATCCTCTTTTCTTATAATTTCTTTGAGTACTATTTCACATCTTTCAAATCTGGTTTTTGGCTGATTTTCAAGCTCATTCTTGCTCTTTTGCAAAATGTTCCTACTTCACCGTTTGCTACTGCTGGGTTTTACCATTCTAACTGATAGTGCTGTTGTTGATTATACATTCTTTGAAAACCTTCTGGGAAGGTTCGAAGTCAAAATGTGATAGATAGCATTTTTTTCAATATATAGAGATGAATGTATAAAATTGCAGCCTGACATACAGAAAATGAAGCAACATCTGGAGAACTATCTTTTGTTAATTCTGCTGCAATAATATTGCTATACTCACCCATGCAGATAATTGATAATTTAATGCATCCCAGGGAGACTGGGTTCTAGGTTACGTTTATCCTCCACCCTCACTGCAGTGGCACCCTGGTTGTGCCACCAGATCTCACTCTAGTCCACTCTAGTCCTTTCTCTAAGTCCTTCTCCAGCCATCTGCATCTTCTCCTTGTGCTGTCTCCTACTCACCCCCCAACCCACTTCTCTTCCCACAGATTCAGAACTGAGGGTGGGAGGACAATCATTCCACAGTTAAGTTCCTGTGTTGGGGGGTTCAGAAGAAGTCCAAGTGTTCGAGAGCAGGCTGTCCAGTATCAGCATCAAGATTAATACCACAGCTTCAAACGATGTTTACCTTTGGAAATCCAGAACAAATCTTCATTTGGATGTGGCAAACAAGAAAAACATGCCATTTGAGGTAGATATGTTATGACTTAGTTAGACAAGCAGAGCAGGGATTAGGATAGAAATGGAATTAACATCCACTATTTTTGGAATGCTTTTGCTAATTCCACTGAACGACTTTGCTTCAGACCAACAAGAGTGTGAGTGAACATGCTTTCTCTATGAATTATAATTAAAGCAGTGACCTACTTAATAGATTTAGCACCTGAATGTTATTAGATATTCTGCTTTGTGGGAGGAAGCAGCTGAACATCTCTGGTTTTTCTTTCTTTCTTTGAAGAACTGAGAATTACCTTGTGGTTTTAATTACAGCTTGGAAAACAAGGAACGTAGAGGAGAGTCATATTAGGTTGGGAAGAATCTGGAGCAGGTTTTCAGAACATGTGGCACGATGATTATCCATTAATTAACAACAGTTATGAGGATAAAACCAGCCAATGAAAACCCAACATGAATGACAGTAAGAATCTTTTCAGTAAAGAACATGCATGGACAGCATTTCTCTTTAAGGAATGAAACAAATATTTTATTTGTGACTGATAATTCTGTTAAAGACCCAATGTTTACATTTGGAAATCTGGCCTGAATCTTCATTTCTATGTGGCAAACAAGAAAAAAAATCCATTTGAGGCAGATATGTTATGACTTATGTGACATTTCTCAGCTAGACAATTAAATTCCTTGACAATTGTAAAGAGTCTCCAAACAACAGAAGCACAGAGAATGCTCTCTCTTTTTGCCATTAAGTCCTGAAATAACCATGTAGCACATCTTAAAGACTAACAATTTTACTATGGCTTTAGTGCTTCTGTGGATGCTGTCTATATATTACAATCATTCTATTAATATTAATTAATGGATAGTTAGAAGGACACTGGCCATAACAAATCTGTTAGCATTTAAAGTTGCCAGCTAAGATTCTTAGCTGGCTTTGCTACAACAGACCCAGCTACCCGCCTCGAAATTGCACCTTCACAGGGCTGTGTGGGGATAAAACGGAATCAGGCGCTGTGCCCTGCTTTCAGGCCACTGGAGGAAAGGTGGGATCTCAATCTAGTGAAACGTTATAGGGCAGAGGGGCTTCTGGGAGGGAGAGAGGGAGGGAGGGAGGGAAGGTGCTGTCATTCTGTCTCTCGGTCCTCTTTCCCTGTCCTGTCTCATTGCCCCTTTTTTCAACCATTCTCTGCACTGAAGGATATAATTTTTTCCCAATGACCAAACAACGGGGGCCGGTTCCTGAGGGTTCTATCAGAGAGACAGAAGAAGGCAAAAATCTAAAATAAACCTCTGCCAAGAAGATCAGATTTTATAAAGATAAGCCTGGAGGCAAATGTTTTTGACACCAAATGTCCCAAAAGGAAGTGTAGGTCAAGATAAGCATGTACAAAAGTAACCGAATATTTCCTGCTTGTTGTGTTTTAATTTTTTGCCATAAGTGTCCTGGTTTTATTGAGTAATATTTCCTGCACCGACATTTTCTATGCAGAATCATTATAAAAAGCTAAATGCATAATGAATGTGCTGTGGATGATCACTTTGCCAGCTGGGCCTGCCTGGAGACAGGGTTGCTCTATATTGTTAGTATTCACCGACAATAAAGAGGGGGTTTTATATATAAAGTGACCTGCTGGCATTTCCTCCTGCCACCCCATCATACTTCTTAGAAGAAAAAAGTGGCATATAAATCTAATAAATAAATGAACAATGCAATATCTCCATCCTGCCACTTCCCCTACATAACTGCGGAGCTGGCTTTGGGAATAGAGGGAGACTTACGAGAATGGCTTCCCTCCTAACCCCAAGCCAATGTTTAGGCCTGGGCACTGGGCTTCCCCTTCCCCAAAGTATGTGATCCCACAAAACCCAACTAAACTTGTGGGCGGCATCTCTCTGTGTAGATCGGGCCGATGCTCATGAGGTGACTTAAAGCAGACCTAGCAAGCCAGAGTTCTGCTCCGGTGAACTGCTTCTTCCCAGCCCTCTTGCTCCTGACAGAGTTGCTTTGGATCTTGGAAGCCCACCAGCACACAGCCAGGAAGGACAGTGACCTTACATGCCTCCTTAAAAATAGACCGTCCCACAAAAGAGGACAAGAGGCATATCTCATATATGCAAGTTAGTTCATCTGTAAAGCAGCAAATTCAGAAACAAATAGTGGCGCTTGCGTGCAAATACAATACATCTCCTCATGCCCACAGTGAGGGCGACAACAACCTGTTTGCCTGCTCAGCTTGGTGTCCGGGTTGGGAGGCAGCCTCAAGGCCCATCCTTGCCTTCTTCTGGCTCTGGGACCTCAAGGAAAAGCTGGCAGCAGGCAGGCAAAAACCAAGTGCCTTCGGCATGAGTAATGATCAAGATCTCCCATGGGTTTGGGGTGCAGGCATGAATGAGCAGGCCCATGTGTTGCACTGAACATTGAGGCTGCAGAAGTGGGGGTGAGGGGGTCTTGGTCTGTCTCCCCTTCCCATTTCTTCCACCAAAGCTGCTATAGGACCTTCAGGGAAACAGACAAGTGAAGATGGTGGAGAAATCTACAAGGGACTCACAGGAGTTCAGAGTTCTATGACGCCAACAGGCCGTTTCTGCAACAGACTGGATGTTTCCAAATGCATGGCTTTTGTGCGCTTGTGGGCCATTCCTTTTTCACGTTGGAGGGAGATCTGTACAAATGCACAACAGTGTTAGTGCAGACTTGTGCCAGCACATTTGCACAAGTGCAAACGGGCATGCAATTCTCATCCAGCCCCATTGAGAAGTCCCGTTCCATCAGTGAACCGCACACAGGTACCCACAACACCTGACTCTTCTGTGGAGAGAACAGTGGTTTAGCTTTTGGAAACACCCGTCCTTAACTCCCATTCCCCTAACCTCCAAAGGAAGTACCCAGGTTGCTAAACAACTACCCAGCCACACTGGAGATCCCAAACGCTGATCTCCAGAGTTCTGTCTGGTTCTCCCCGAGAGCACATGATCAGGTGCTCTAACAGTGGCAATTCCAAATGGCACATAAACATCTTGTCACAGGATCTCTATTGTCCTGTTGAGCTTTCCAAGAAACGTGGAGTCTCCTTTCCTCAGCTCTGCAACACCATCCATCCATCCTCCGTCTTTAGTATATACTTATATATTCTCTCTTTTTATAAGAGATAAATTTGCACACAAATAAGTGATGGCAAGGAGCAGTCTAAAGCATCCACATGTCTTGATTTAGACCAAGAAGGGCAGTGTGATTTTAATTTACTTATCAGATTGACTCCAATAGAAGGCTGCTATCTCTGAGTTCTTATCTCTGTGTAAGCTCATTACAGACACGCTGATTACAACTAGCAACATCGCATGGGGAGAAATGCACAAAACTATCTCTCGCTTGTGATCTGTTCTGGAAGCATTTGAAGATGAAAAATGGGCCATTCCTAATTCTTGGGCCTGTTGGATGCGTTATAGCAGGGATTCAATTTTACCCCAAGAGGAACAAGTTAAAGATAAATCTGTTCCTGGAGTTTTTAAAGTAGTTAGTGGTGCAAACTAAGTGACATATGAGGTAAAGAGTTAATTGACATCTCTGGATACATCGGGGAGACTTATCTGCAAATGGGGTGACAAGTATAGGAAGGATGTTGGTTAGCAAGTAGAACCAAATAAAGTTTTAGCCCAGGTTTCCTGTATTAAAAAAAAACCCTAGTATGTTCTGTTCTTTAAGTTGTAGTAGTTCCATTCTCTTACAAGCCTGGTCCATTTAAGGCATTGACTGTGCTAACACTGTGCTTCATTTATGGAACTGAACAGAAGGTCCAGCCAACGATGTCTTCAGTCTGTAGCCCTTCCATTTTTCCCTGCTGCTTCTTCTGGTCTTTGATCTTACTGCAGAAACTCCATTAGGCTATATATAAGGTAGTGTCACTTTCTGGATTCAGGCCACCTTGTTTAACCACTTCTGCTAATAGGAGTTCCCAAGCTACATGCAGCAGTGGCAAACTACTTCTTCCAA